CGGTCACGCTTTCGGATGTCTTCATCATCGTGAAGCTCGCGAGGAGGAACGCGTCGACCGCAGAGTTCCACGCTGCGCAGGAGGAGCTCAACCCGCGGGGGTCAGCGCCGAGCAGGCCCAGCAGACCTTCAACGTGGATCATCAAGGAGGTCGCGCGGTAGATTATATGTAGAGGTCCCCGCAGAGGCATTCTCGCGAGCACGTTGCCGTCGCCTGTGTGTCAACTCCGCTGCAGGAGAACGCGCATCCTTTGAACGATGCGAATCGCTATGGCAGGAGTTGGCCGTCCGCTTGTAATCTCTCGCGGGGGATTGCAACAAAAAAACGAAGGATTGCAAAACAAGAAAGAATAAAGAATCAAAAAAATGACTGCAACAAACGGGTGGCAAAAAAAAACAGGGTTTTGTTTTGCAACCCCTCGTTGCAATCCTGTTTTTTTTTGTTTTGCAATCCTTCGGGGGGGGGGGGGGGGGGCCCAGCTCATCGCGAGAGCGATGTCAGTAGCCCGCGAGCGCAGGCTCGCGAGGGCCCCGCCTGCGATTGCACGTCTGAGATGTCTCGCTCTCGCGCTCGCTCTCGGCTGCTTGTTCGAAGGATTTAAAAAAAAAAAAAAAAAAAAAAAAAAAGAAAGAAAAAAAAACGAAGGATTGCAAAACAACGAAGGGTTTTTTTGCAATCCGAAGGGTTTGTTTGCAATCCTTGGTTTTTTGTGCAATCCTTCGCTCCGTCTCCTGCTTCTCTGAATAATTCGCACCGTCTTCGCTTTCTTGACTGCGCTCTTGTAGTCTGCAGCTGGAACGTCAAGACTGCGCTGGGGCCCACCCGCTCAAGCCATACCAGCCCCCGACGTGAAATGCGCCAGATTCGGTCTTTGCTTCGGAAGTTCCAGACCCTCGGGATTCAGGAGCCTCGCGGGGGAGAGGGTGGCGTCGTGCATCTTCATTGCGATTTCCGGACCTCTGCGGCAGCGTCTGCAAGTCGCCATCGGCAGGCGGCAATCTCTTCTTGATCTTTTGCACTTGGTCGCTTCGACCCAATCCGGCCGCCCCCGCGAAGGGCAGCGCCCATTCCCTCGACCTCCGCGTCGATCCAGGGCGGGGCCCCAACGAGCTCAATGGCGCGCGTGCCAAGATTAACCGCGCCTGGGAACCCGGGTCAGTTCACCGCGTTTTCGCTCGGCGACATCGACGTTCTGGCTGCGCGACAGCGGGGTTGGAAGGTCCATCAACGCGTCGCCCCGCGTCGCTCTGCATCTCCCCCTTCGGGCCCCGCCGAGACTCTGCAGGGGGGGGCGCCCGCAGTCCCCGAAGGGGTAAAACGCGGTCGCGCGGGCGCTTGGACCGCCCGCGCCGTTCTCTGGCCGCGCAGGCGATCCTTGACCCGAGTCCGCGCTCGGGGGTTGTCCGGCCTGCCCCTGGCCTTCCAGAGCCGCCCCATCGCGCGCCCGCGTTCCTGAGGTCGGAGCCCTGGCGGCCGCGAGGGCCCATCCTCGCTCCAGCGCGGGCCGCGCGTCGTCGGGCATTCCAGGTTGTCGTTCGGGGCCTTTTAGCGCCTGCGGAGTCGGGCCGGAACTTAGACGACCAGCTACAGGGCATAGAAGGTGTCTCCCACTACGCTGCCGGGCGCGCCAAGACGCACGTTGCCAATCAGGGGGTCGAGTCACTTGAAAGACGCGTGTCTCGCCACCTAAAACTCGCGCCGAGAATGCTATCCGGGCGCGCTCTGCTTTGGGGGAGTTTTTCGACCTGGACCTGAACGCTTGGCGCGACCGCGGCGCCTTCGACTTGCATCGGGGAAGTTCGACGGAGGCGCGTTCGAAGCGGGAGGCCGAAACGAGGCCGCAGGAAAGACCGAGGCGGACATCGCCGACATCATGTGTTCCGCAGTTCCCAGCGCGCGCGGGGCGCGCCTCTTGCGCGGCGGTCGAGCGGCCGCAAGATCTGCCTCCAGCAGGTCACCAATGTGGACGGCCAGCATTATTCCGATGGTCGCGCATGCGCGGAGATCATAGGTAAGCATGTTCTCGCGGTTGATGCTACTGACGAGAGCATTGCTGGCACGCGTGCCGAGATTGAGCCGAGATTGAGTCGATCACCCTTCGTGAGCACAACTATCTAGCTGAAGATCTCCCGCTCTATCCCTGGGTCGCCCCTGAAGCCAGAGTCTAGGACATCTTGTTTTTTATAATAATAAAAAAGGACACTGCTCCAGGGCCGGATGGAAAACCGCGTGCTGCGTGGAGAGCAGTTGGTGATATTGGTCAACATGTATTATATATATAGAGAGAGAGCAGTTGGTGAGATTGGTCAACCTGTTCTTATATATATATATATATATATATGTCGGTGCGTGCACGGGAAGGTTGTGAGCGGAATGACTTGATGAAACAGGTCAAAAACGAACCTATTGAAATGGGGGACCCCTGGACTCCATAGCCTTTCTTCGGTTCGAGATGGCCCAGGTCCCAGCGGGACACTGGGCTGTCCTCGCGCTGGGGCTTCTCCACATCTCCTCGCTCCTCTCACCCGCGGGGCCGCGCCCATCGGCTGGGCTGCCGCCCTGCGCACTGGAGGCCGTGTGCCCGCCCGTGTGGCTGCCGCCCGAGGACGGCGGGGACGCCTGCCCTCCCTGTCCCGAGGCGCCGCCTTGCGAGGCGGCCCCCGCCGTCTGCCCGGCCCCCGAGCTGGTGCAGGCCCTGGCCGAGCCTGAGACAGACCCGCTCGGCGCCCTCTTGGCGGCGGTCCCTGGCGCGCTGGCGGCGCTGCTGCTGGAGGCGTATGCTGCTGCCGGAGGCGTGCCGCATCGTGCGAGGCTGCTGTCGCCGAAGGCCCCAGGCTGCGGAGACGGTGATCGGAGGGCGCGATGGCGTTGCTCCCGCGAGACGAGGGGCTGGAGTGGTGGAGGCTGCTGTCGCCGGGACAGCGGCTCGTCGTAAGATATAGTGACGATCAGGTGGATCACGAGCGCGCGCTCCTTTACCCGAGCTTGCCGCCGGGCACCTGGGCCGCGCTGACACCTGACGGCGACGAGTACGAGGGGGACTACACGGGCGCGAGCCCGGAGACTGGGCCCGAGGGCGCAGCCCTGATGCAAGCAGGCGGAGGCGCGCCCGAGGGCTGGCCGCGGCCAATCTACCGCTTCCGGGCGCCCCTCTCGGTGGGGGAGCTCAAGGCGGCGATCATGCGGGATCGCGCGCTGGTGGAGGAGCGTCTGCCGGGGATCGCGCCTGGGCCGCCTGCTGAGGTGGCGTGCCCGGACGCCAGGCTGGTGGAGTGGGCGGACTTCTTCGGCGAGGTGAGGCGGCCCGCGCTGCGACGGCAGCGAGGGGAGCAGCCCGCGGCCCCGCTGGAGGACGACCGCGTCTGGGTGGTGGCCGAGCCCACGGAGAGCGCGGCGGCGGGCACCGCCGTGGATCGCTCCGATGATCGCTTCGTGCCGGCGACCGCGCTGGTGGGCCTCTTCGTGTTCCCTGAGGGCCCCCGCCGCGTGGAGGCCCTGCTAGCGGGGGACCTCCTGGGCTATGCGGCGAGGCGGCGGCGCGAGATGGGCCTCAGCGACTTCCCCGCCGCCGAGCCCGACCGAGAGGGAGCCGCCCCCGCCGGGATGGCAGACCTCCGCGAGCGCCTGGGCCGCCCTGCGGGCGCCGGAGGTGCTGGCAAGCCAGACGAGGTCGGCGGCACGGCGACCCCTCCGCCCGATCTCCGCATCTTGGAGGTGGACTACGACGCGCAGGGGGAGAGGTACAAGCCCTTCAGGACCGCCTGCCGGGAGAGTTCGCAAGAGACCTTCCCCGACCAGCCCATCGAGGGGCCAGCCTCGGCCTTGACGGTATGCAAGAACATGGAGCGTACGAACGGCGACCCCAGATCCTGGCTGAGGGGCTTCTTGAGGTCCAAAGGCATCGGCGACAACGACAGAGTGGCGCACGAGATGCGCGTCCTCTGCGACATCCTCTTCTGGGCCGCGGTCTACGACCAGGTGAATCTAGGCGGCCTGATGTGCCTGGAGACGGCGGCGAGGAGGATCGCAGGGCTGGCGCCGGTGTACTCCGACCCGGCCAAGCCTGTGCGGGGCCGCGCCCGCCTGTACACCGGCGCCGCGTCCTCGGACGACATCGCGGGTCAGGCCCTGCTGCATTTCGCTACCAGGAAGATCAAGGAGCAGCAGGAGGCCCAGGCGGTGCTCTCGCACGGCAAGGGCCCGCAGCGCGCCGAGGGCGACGGCACCAACGACGAGGGCGGCAAGGGTCGGCTAGGGCGCCCGCCACCGAAGAACCAGAAGGGAGGCTCGGGGGGGGCTGACGCCCCCCCCAAGGGGCAATGATGGCCCCCACGGCCGTGGGGAACCCCGTCCCCGGCCGAGATTCAGGGGTGGCGCGGGGTCGGCTTGCCGCCTCGCGCTGTGCCAGGGAGCTCTTCCCGCTGCCTCGCTGGCGCCTGCCCGAGCTGCCCGTGGCCGGCTCCATTCGGAGTATGGCCCTGCGGCGGCGCGAGAGGCTGGTGTTCAAGATGGGTAACGAGGCGGTGGATGCTTTGAACTGGCTTGCTGGGTTTCGGAACGGACCGACCTACTTCGATCCCGACCCGATGCAGCTTGAAGTTTTGGAGCGGATCTGCGAGTTAGCCTCACGGCGGTACCCAGGTCCTGACGCTCTCAGCGAACGCGCGGCCGTCCGACGGCTGCTGCGATGGCACACACCGTGCGATGGGACGGGGTGCCTCACCCGTGTCGCGCCTTTCAGAAAGGGCCTTGTCTCGTTACCCGAGACAGTGGAGGGCTGCCCGCCGTTTGAGGACGTGGCTACAGACAGTTCATCAGTGACCTGCGCCGACGCGGCTTGGTGGGCTGGACCATGCGCCCGCGACGCCAGGTCGGCCTCTTCTTTGTCGAGAAGGACGGAGGTCAGCGGCTCAGGCTCATCCTCGACGCCAGGCCCGCGAACCTTCTATTCGAGCCGCCGCCGGGCGTCAGCCTCTTGAGTGCGGAGGGCCTCAGCCGAGTCGAGATCGCCCTGCCGGATGGCCTGGACCCCTGGAGCGAGGAGGCGGAGCGGCTCCTTGGCAGCTACTCCTTGCACGTGGGCCTGGCCGACGTGAAGGACTGCTTCCACAGGTTGCGACTTCCTGGGTGGCTCTCCGAGTATTTCTGCCTTCCCGTCGTGCCAGCGTACCTGCGTGGCGCGGAGGGCCAGATCTGGGAGGGCAGGACACTGGAGAGGCACGATCTGGTAAGTCCGTGCTGGGCCGTCTTCCCCATGGGCTTCACGTGGAGCTTGTGGGCTGCCCAGCGGATCAACGAGTACCAGGCGAGCTCTATCTGCCCGCAGCTGCGCGAGAGCCCCCTGACCGACCGCGGCAGGCCCCCCGTCTTCGGTCCCAGCGTCCCCAGAGGCCACGTCTCGCACTATGTGTACGTCGACAACCTGAGTGTGGCCTCCACCGACGAGCCCATCGTCACCGACGCGATCGCGCAGCTGGTTGAGGGCTTCGACCAGCGCGGCCTCCTCCTTCACGGCAACTCCGTGGGCGCCGAGGTCGAGACGCTGGGCACCGAGGTCTCGGGGGCCCTCTGGAAGACGAGGGTGACGCAGAAGAGGTTCTGGCTCATTCGGCAGGCCCTGAACGGCCTCCTGCGACGCCGCCGCCTCACGGGCTGGGCGGTCGAGGTCTTGGTGGGCCACTGCGCGTTTGCGGGATTGCTGAGCAGAGGTACGTTGAGCGTATTTCATACAGTCTACGCTTTCATGCGGAAGTCTTATGCCGAGCCGCGGGCGCTATGGCCCGAAGCCCGCCAGGAGCTCGAGGCGTTCCGAGGCCTCCTCATCTTCCTGGAGAGTGACTGGACGCTGCAGTGGAACGACCTCGTGGTGGCGACCGACAGCAGCCTGGATGCAGGAGCGGTCTCGACCACCCATTGGCCCCGATCGCTGGTGGCCGAGGCGGGCCGCGTGCAGGAACGCGCCCGCTTCCGGGAGCCCGCGGCGGTCGAGGCCGACGGGGCTGACGGGGGCGCTCCTGCTGCCCGCCGCGGTGCGCGGGAGGCGGCGCTGGAGGCGGCTGGCTTCTGGCGCGACGCCGATGGAGAGTGGCGGCTGGCCGAGGGCGTGAACGACGACGACGACGAGCTGGCCGCCGCGCGGGAGGCAGACCCGTCCTTCCCCGAGGTGCCCGCCGCGGGCTTGGCGAGCAGCCGCTGGCGCACCAAGCAGGTGCAGCGCTGGCGGTTCGAGGAGGGCATCCTTATCAAGGAGGCCCGAGCGCTGGTGATGGGCGTCCGTCGTATCGCCCAGTCTGTGCTCGGTGCCGCCTGCCGTCAACTGATCTTGTCGGATAACATGTCAGTTGTACTATCTTTTAGCAGGAGCCGTGCAAAAGATGTTGCTCTCCTCGTCCAGGTCCGTAGGTTTCAAGCCTATTGTCTCGCAAGAAATCTGAAGGTGTCTGTAAGGTGGGTTCCGTCTGAGTTGAATCCCGCCGATTATGGGTCTCGTGTTTTTGATCAGAAAGGGGCTAAGGAGCCTCTTGGTGCGATTCTTCCCGACACACTTTTTTCAGATGTCCAGGTTCAAAGGTCCCCCTGAGGTTCGCGCTCCCTTCCGTTATCCCTTGCCTGAGAATTCTGTGCAGCGCCCCTTGCAGTGTGACCCTCAGAGAGCTCAGTTCGTTCTGCCCCTGTCGCCCAAGGAGTCCGACTGGTCTCCTGGTGCCCATGTTTGCTCCGAGCCCGTGTACTCAAAGTGCGGTATGACGTCCTCGTATCCCGTTTCGGCTCAAACCTGTTTGCAGGCCCACTCCTTCGGCGGGCCCTCGTCTTCGCATGCTGCGCCGAGGACTGCGGCGGGAGGCCCCGCCGTCTTCGCCCGGGCCTCCGGCGCGGCGACCACGTCTGCTGGAGAGGGCCGCGTCGGCCGAGCCTGCGGCGCCGACCTCCCGACAGCTGGCGGCGCGAGAATCGGGCAGCAAGACTCCTCGAGGGCCGCAGCGCCTGCCGAGGCCCACCGCGGCCCAGAGAGCGCAGGACTGGCAGGCCAGGCAGAGCTTGACCGAGCTGCCGCCAGCGCCCAGGCTGCCCGAGCACGAACGCGACCTCCAAGCCCTCCCCCAGGGCTGGTCGCGCCCGATCGTGGCCGACAGCGACGACGGCAGCAGCACCTCCGACGATCAGCAGGTCGTGCCAGCCGGCGAGAGGCGCGAGAAGGAGCTGCTGAGGAGGGCAAATCGGAGGCGACGTGCGTACGGCGCGGAGGCGGCGCTGGACAGCACGGCGGTGGAGGGCCAGACGTTCCTGGAGAGGCGGTCGGTGTTCGGGCCCGCGAGGAACCGCTACACTCAAGAGCTGGAAGCCTTCCTGGATTATTGCGATCGGGGCCCGCAGCGGGCCTTGACCACCGCCTCAGAGGTGGGCGAGGCGATGGTCGACTACATGAACCATCTGTTCTTCGACGGCCACGAGAGCGCCAAGGGCGATCAGGTGATGGCAGGCCTCATGTACAGGTTCCTGGAGTTCTCAAAGCAGGGCGAGGCCAAAACCCCTCGGGCCTGGAGGTGCCTCCGAGGATGGCGCAAGCTGGCGCCCGGGCAGAGCCGCCGCGCATGGCCTTTGGCCCTCTGGCGCGGGCTCGCCTGGCGCATGGTGGTGCGAGGCGCGCTGCAGATGGCGGTGTTCCTGCTCACGATGGTCTCCGGCTACTTCAGGCCCAGCCATCTGCTGACGCTGACGAGAGGCAACATCATCGCGCCTGCGATGGGAGTGTGCCGCTGGTGGTCGCTACTGCTGTTCCCAGACGACAAGCCCCAGAGAAGCAAAACAGGACTGTCGGACGTCGGGGTGATGTTGGACAGCGGATGGTTTCAGCGCGCCATGCCCATCTTCCGAGAGCTCGCACGAGGGGATCCCGAAGAAAAGGTGCGGGCGTTCAGTTACCCTCAGTTTCTGGCAGCGTTCAAGAAGGCGCTGAGCGACCTACAGATTCGGGAGCACATTGTCCCGTATCAAGCCAGACACTCGGGGCCCAGTATAGACAACGCTCGACGATACAGAACGATCGAGGAGATACAGAAGAGAGGCCAGTGGAAACATGCCAAGTCGATGCAACGTTACGAAAAGGCGGCGAGGTTGGGTCAAAGCTGGTCACTCCTGCCGTCCCAACTGCAAGATACTTTGACACAGTGCGAACTACGTCTAGAGGACTGCTCGGAAAAGGCGCAGAGACAATTATCCAGTGAGGCGGTGCGGCCGCCAGCGTAAGTACATTTTAGACCTGTTCTCGGGTTCGAACTCGATAGGCAAAGCTGCTTTGAAGCGGGGTTTCAACTACCATGGTTTTGACAGCCTCAACGGGCCCAATGAAGACCTTACTAGACCAGTCGTGCTTGCGCGTGTTAGGACCGCTATATCTAGGCGCGAGGTGATTGCCGCGCCCCTTGGGCCTCCCTGTGCGTCCTGGGGAACTGCGGCTGATCGGGGTCGTCAGCCGGGTCGCTCGAAGGATTTTCCTTGGGGCCTCCCCGACGCCTCCGAATATACTACTAGAAGAATCGCACAGGGAAATGCCACCTTCCGAGCCGCATTGAAATTAATGAAGGCGCTTGCCCGCGCGCAGGTGCCCATTGTTTTTGAGCATCCGATAAACAGTAGAGCCTGGCACACGCCTGAACTGACGTCTCTTATCGAGCGTTATCGCATGCATTCTCGAGTGTGCGATCAATGTCAGTTAGGGGTCCGCTGGAGAAAGCGCACGCGTTTCTTGTTCTTCGGAGTGGACCCCAGGACACTTTAAAAGTCCAAAGGCGGTGCCGCTGTTTTGGTGGTGTTTGCTCGGCTTCAGGGAAGCCCCACGTTATCCTGGAAGGCAAGGCCCCCTCAGGGGCCACGTGGACATCTCTGGCAGCTTCGTATCCTCCGAAGCTGGCTGACTGCATTGTGAACTGTTTATTGTGCCGCCAGAGGGATCAAGAGGCGGCATTCTTCCTTTAACCCGCCTCGCCCTCCGAGAGAACCCTTTGGGATTTGGGGCTGTCAGTTGCGTCCCAGCTTCGCCAAGACGAGTGGCATGTGGTAGCAAAAACGTTCCCCACCGAATGTAGCAGTTAACCTGTCAGTGCGTGCACGGGAAGGTTGTGAGCGGAATGACTTGATGAAACAGGTCAAAAACGAACCTATTGAAATGGGGGACCCCTGGACTCCATAGCCTTTCTTCGGTTCCCGCCCTCCCTTGTCTCCCTCTCTGCTCTGTCGCCAGGCTGTCAGTTGCGTCCCAGCTTCGCCAAGACGAGTGGCATGTGGTAGCAAAAACGTTCCCCACCGAATGTAGCAGTTAACCTATATATATATATATATATATATATATATATCCATTCAAATAAATCCGATCGATGATTTGTGGGTTTGCGGGGGCCCCCGGTCCCCAGAGCCCTCAGGGAACCCCGAAACGGCTCCGGAGGGCCCCCAGAAGGGCCCGAAACGGCACCGGGGCTCGCCAGAAGAGCCCCGAGACGGCCCATGGAGGCCCCGAGACAACCCAAGACGGCTTTCAGGCGGTCCAAGATGTTCTCCAGACGCCTCCAGAGGCTCAAAGACGCCCCCGAACGGCTCCAGGCGGGTCCAAGGGGTTCCCCGAAAGGGCTCCATCAAGCAAAAATCGTTATTGACATTTTCAGCAGATTGGTCTTCGAAGCGCCCAAAACGGCCCCAGAGGCTTCCAAGATCGCCCAAGACGGCCCCCAAGAGGGCCCAGAGATGGCTCCAGACGGGCCCAGGACGGCCCAAGAGGCGCCCATGACGACCCAAGAGGAGCCCATGAGAGGCCCAAGAGGGGCCCAGGACAGCCCCGAGACGGCCCATGGAGGCCCCGAGACGACCTCAGGCGGTCCAAGATGCTCTCCAGACAGCCCCATGAGCCCCAAAGACGCCCCCGGACGATTGTGCACGCCGACGGCGCGGGCGGCCACGCGGTCCCCGTGGAGGCGGGGACGAGCAGCTAGGGGGCCAGATGCGAACCTTACCCCTACCCCCCACGATTTCTGAGGGGGAGGGTGGGGTAGGGTTCGCATGTGGCCCCCTAGCAGGACCGCCCCCCCGGGGCCTGTGTCACCGGAGGCGCACGCCGACGGCGCGGGCGGCCGCGCGATCTCCGTGGAGGCCGGGACGAGCAGCGGCGCGGGCGCCTGCGCCTGGTCGCGGGCGGCTCCAAGGCTGCGGGCTCGTCGGAGGACCATTCGGACACCGTCCTGCAGGCCCCCGTGGGGGGGCGCCGTGTGGAGGCCGTGGAGTGTGAGAAGCGGGCGGGGGCGGCCGTATCGACGTTGAACTACGTCGATGGCGGGGTGTAGCTGAGCGAGGACGGCTGCATCGCAGTCGACTAATGCCAGCTTCCAGACTGCGCGGATACAGGTGGAGTCGAAGAAGGCAGGGCCATTCGGAGATGGAGAGGGACGAGAAGACGGATGAGGACGAGCTCGCGCTGGAGTTGAAGCTTGCGGCAGAGGATCTGCAGATTGCCGAGACTCAGGCAGAGACCGAGGCGCAGTCGAGGAGGTTCCTCAAGAGCTCGTGGCGCGACTGTCGGGCCCGACGGCCGCTACACGGAAAGCGCATGCCAGATGACGAGAGAGGCTTGCGAGCGGTCTTCAATTCGGCCCAAGAGGCCCCCTCAGACGGCCCCAAGAGGGCCCCAAGACGGCTTCGAAGACGCCCAAGATGGCCTCCAAGACGGACCTGAAGCACCTCAAGAGAGCCCCAAGTCGGCCCAGAGAGGCCCCCAGACGGCTTCCGATGGCACGCGAGAGTTGGGGTACAGACTAAGTAGTATTATGTACGGTTTTTATGTTGGGGAGAGTGGCGTGGAGGCGCTCACATTTGGTTTGACTGGTCCTCCCTCCTTGTCCTCCTCCTGTATCCTCGTGGCATCGCCCTCCTTCGTGCTGCCGTCGGTTCTACCCTTGCTAGCCCTCCCTATCCCCCTGCCCCATCTTCTTCCTCATCCTCCACATTTCAGTTTTTGGCCTAAGCCATCCTCCCTCCTGCGCTTCTCTCGCTTCAGGACTGGGTCGTTGGATGGACAGCGCAGCAGAAAGCGTGGTGCTGCGCCTGCCTCAGAGAGCAAGATCGCGATAGCCATCTCTTCATATATCTTCCATCCCCTCGCCTCAACGCCCGCCTACGAAGTCTCGCATGAGCGCCGCAGAGGAGTGAGCTGGCACGAACATAGAGGATAAAACAGATGCGTGTCGCGAACAGATGCGTGTCGCGATGACAGAGGAGAAGCAGAAGCTAACGTTGCGGATACGGGTCAGCAGCTCCCGCCGTCAGTATTCGGATGAGTGTCCCACTGCGGGGAGTCTAGTTCGCGTATCCGAACCAGCCCATGTAGAAACGATTCCCAAGCGAGCTGCATCGATCAGGGAGGTGCAGGAGCATCGAGTAGAACAAAAAGGGTGTGCAGTCGTCAAGCTGTAACTCATGATGGACCTGAGCAGAGCCAGGGGTGAACCATATGTTCAGTTGCGGCCCGCTCGACGTAGGAGGAGGAGGAGGAGGAGGAGAACGGAGGGAGGAGGGGGAGGGCTAGTAGAAAGAGGAGGAGTTTGGCGGAGACCACGCTCCCGCTCAACTTCTGGTGAATCCATGGTGGGGGAAGGAGAAGTAGAAAGAGAAGCAGGAGGGGGAGGAGGAGGAGGAGGAGGAGGAGGAGGAGGAGAAGCAGCAGCAGCAGCAGCAGCAGCGGGACGGAGGTCAAGGGGGCCCGTCTTCCTCTTTGTTCACTTCGCTCTCCCCATCCCTCTTCCCCCCCTCATGGGCGGGCTCCGTGGCCCTTGCGTGCTGGCGGTCCGGCGGCGCTGAGTTGCTGGCGCCGGCGGCCGGCGGCGCTGCCAGTGGCGGGCTTTTCCCTTGGGTCCTGGGGGCCGTTTAGGGCGGCTCGCGACCCGGAGGTCCGCGAGCTCGCGCAGCAAGCGGCAGGTGCGGCAGCGGGAGCGGCCGCAGCGGGGGAAGCGTGAGCCGAGGAGGCTCTCGCCGTGGGCATCGCGAAGGACGAGGGCCACTCCTGCATGGTGGAAGCTCCACGTCCTCGTGTGCTGCGTCACCCTACGAGCGCGACCGATGCCAGCAGCACCACTACGCCCAGCAGGTCGGCGAGCAGTACGATCGGAAGCAGCACCACGGGTGGGACGAGCGCGACCGGTGCCAACAGCACCACTACACCCAGCACAGCGGCGAGCAGTACGACCGAGCAACCCCACGAGTGTGGCAAGCGCGACTGGTACCAGCAGCACCACTACGCCCAGCACGTCGGAGAGTACGACTGAAAGCAGCACCACGAGTATGACAAGTATGACCGGTACCAGCGACACCACTACGCTCATCACGTCGGGGAGCAGTACGACCGAGAGCAGCTCCACGAGTATGGCGAGCGCGAACTCGACCAGCAGCACCACTACGCCCAGAACGTCGGCGAGCGGTACCACCGAGAGGACACCACAGGTGCGACGAGCGCGATCGCTACCAGCAGCACCACTATGCCCTGCGCGTCGACGAGCAATACGACCGAGAGCAACAGCACGGGTGTGGCGAGCACGACCGGTACCAGCAGCACCACTACGCCCAGCACGTCTGAGAGCAGTACGACCGAGAGCAGCCCCACGAGTGTGACGAGCGCAGCCGGTATCAACAGCACGAAGCCCAGCACATCAGAGAATAGTACGACCGAGAGCAGCACCACGCGTACGACGAGTACGACCGCCACCGTCAGCACTACTACGCCTAGCACGTCGGCGAGCGGTACGACCGAGAGCAAAACCACCAGTGTAAGAAGCACGGTTGGTACCAGCGGCATCACTACCCCCTGCACGCCGACGAGCAGTACGACGAGCATGACCAGTACTTGCAGCACCACCAGCACGTCGGCGAGCAATACGACCGAGAGCAGCACCACCAATGTGACGAGCGCGGCCGGTACCCGCAGTACCACTACGCCCAGCACGTCGGCGAGCGGTACAACCGAGAGCAGGGTCACTAGTGTGACGAGCAGGGCCATTACCAGCAGCACTAGTACGCCCAGCACGCCGGATAGCAGTACGATCGAGAGCAGCACCACGAGAATGACAAGGACGACCGGTACTAGTGGCACCACTACGCCCAGCACGTCGGCGAGCAATACGACCGTGAGTAGCATAACGAGTGGGACGAGCACGACCCGCACCAGCAACACTACTACGCCCAGCACGTCGGCGAGCAGTACAACCGAGAGCAGCACGTGTGTTACGAGCATGGCATGCACCCGCGTCATCACTATGCCCAGCACGTCGGCGAGCGGTACGACCGAAAGCAGCACAACGAGTGTGACGAGCGCGACCCGTACATGCAGCAGCACTACGCCCAGCAAGTCGGCGAGCAGTACGACAGAGCGCCGCACCACGAGTGTGACGAGCTCGACCGGTACCAGCAGCACCGTTACGCCCAGCACGTTAGATAGCAGTACGTCCGAGAGCAGCACCACGAGGGTGACGATCACGACCGGTACCAGCAGCGCCACTACGCACAGCATGTCGGTGAACAGTACGACCGAGAGCAGCACCACGGGTCTGACGAGCACGACCGGTGCCAGCAGCACTGTTACGCCCAGCGCGTCGGCGAACATTACTACCGAGAGCAGCACCACGGGTCTGACGAGCACGACCGGGACCAGCAGTTCCTTTACGCCCAGCACGTCGGCGAGCGGTACGACCGAGAGCAGCACCACGAGTTCGACGAGCACAACCAGTACCAGAAGCACCACTATGCTCAGCACGTCGGCAAGCAGTACGACCGAGAGCAGCACCACGAGTGTGACGATCACGAACCGTTTCAGCACCACCACGAGTATGACGAGCACAACCAGTACCAGCAGCACCCCTATGTCCAGCACGACGGCGAGCAGTACGACCGAGAGCAGCATCACGAGTGTGACGAGCACGACCCGTTCCAGCAGCACTACGAGTATGACGAGCATGACCAGTACCAGCAGCACCCCTATGTCCAGCACGACGTCGAGCAGTACGACCGAGAGCAGCACCATGATTGTGACGAGCACGACCGGTACCAGCAGCACTACCACTCCCAGCACCACGCCCAGCGCGTCGGCGAGCGGTACGACCGAAAGCAGCACCAGGAGCGTAACTAGCACGACCGGTACCAGCAGCGCCACTGCGCCCAGCACGTGGGCGAGCAGTAAGACCAAGTGCAGCACCACGAGTGTGACGAGCACGACCAGCACAAGCAGCACCACTACGTCCAGCTCGTCGGCGAGCAGCACGAGCAGCTCGCGACCGCGAAAAACACCCTGGACAAGCAGACCTTCGGCATCATGGCTTCCTGATTCCTCCTTTCTCCCCATCTCACAGGCAATTGCGACCGTTAGTCGCCCTGATCCTCCTCCTCCCCCTCTTTCTCTACCTGGCTATGGGATCATTAGTCCCCCCTGATCCGCAGGGCCTCCCTGCCACCTGCACCGCCCGAGCCGCCTCCCTGGTCCCGGCATGGCGGCGTCCTCGTCCACTTCGGCCTTGTCATCGTCTTCGGCGACTTGCCCTCCTCCTCCCTCCTCCATCGTTCTCCTGGGTATGGGATCGTTTGTCCCCCCTGATCCCGCAGGGTCTGCCTGCTCCACACGGCCCACGCTCACCTGGTGATGGGACCGTTTGTCCCCCCTGATCCCGCAGGGTCTCCCTGCTCCACTCGGCCACGCGCTGCTGCTGGTGCGGGGCTGCTCTGGCGACCGCTGGCTCGCTGGGCCGGCCTTTCTCCTTCCTGCCCGCTTCTCCCCCCCCCGCTCGCTAACCCCCGTCCCATGGCGGCAGCGCCCGGCACTGCGCGGCTCCGGCCCGGTGCCTGGCGCTTGCACCTTGCCGCCTCGGCGGCCCCGCGGGTCTTGGCGCTGCGCGGCTTAGGCCCGGCCCTTGACATTGCGGAACGGCAGCGCAACGTGTGCGGTTCCTGCCCGTTCCCGCGCGCTTGCCACTGCGGGGCAGGCCTCCTCCCTGCAGCACACCGGCATCCTGTCGGTTATGGGCGGCAAGTTACCGGCTTCGCCTGGCCGCCGCGCCTCAGACTGCGGCTGCTTTCCCATGTTCGTGGATTGGACTACCACGGCCTAGACCTCTTCGGCATCTTATTTGGTGGCACAACGTTGCACTCCAACCCAGTGGTGCTACTCTTCCTCTCGGGCATCGTCCTGGCGGCGTGGCACGTCTTCCCCCGCAGTTGATGAGGCTGGTGTTTTCGGGGCGCCGTTGGCGGCAACAACACCGACTTCTCGCCTCCCGGGACTTCGCCACCGGGCCCCTGTCCACGGTGTACCTTTTCCTGAATTTCAACTTCGGCACCGCCTGATCCCAGGGCTTCGCCATCTCTCGGCCTTGACGGGAGGCCCCGCCTTATTTTGCCCTCCCTCTCTAATTAATGCTGCGCTCGGCCCGCTTAGCATCTATCAGAAGAGGATCGCTCTCGCCCCGCATATTTATATATATATAATATACATACATATAAGTGCGCTGCGTCACCCTCGCCTCTGGGTGCGCGGCCGCCACCGGCTTCGCCGCGGCATTCTGCTGCTGCTGTGGCCCGATGCTCTTCGCCCAAGGCGCGCCCAGCGAGCAAGCCGACCTGCCGGCGGGGGGTCGCTGGGGAGGTGGGCCATACCCCTCTCCAGCAGCGCCTGGCCAAGTACGCCGCCGTCATCGAGGCGGGAGGGGGCGCAGCCGTCGAGGAAGCTGCGGTGGAGCTGGCTGTGCGGCTGGCGCCACGGGGGGCCCCAGCGGGGCTGACGGCGCGAGCGCGCTCCGCCACTTGGCCGGCGGGAGCGCGACCTCACGCAGGAGGGCCTGCACCCGCACCTGGGCCCGCCCAGCGTAGGAGGAGGAGGAGGAGGAGGAGGAGGAGGAGGGAGGAGGAGGAGGAGGAGAGGAGGAGGAGGAGGAGGAGGAGGAGGAGGAGGAGGAGGAGGGGGAGGCAGTGCGAGAGGGGAGTGGGGGGAAAGGGCGAAGCGGGGGAGGGAAGTGGCCCTCCTCTCCTCCTACCTCCTCCTCTCCTCCTCCTCTCTCCTCCCTCTGCCTCCCCCTTCCTCCTCCCCCTCCTCCTCCTCTCTCCTCCTCCTCCTCCTCCTCCTCCTCCTCCTCCTCCTCCTCCTCCTCTCCTCCTCCTCCTCCCCCCCACTTCCCTCCCTCTCGCACTGCCTCCCCTTCCCATCCCTCTTCCCCTCCCCTCCCCTCCCTGTCCCCCCTCTCGCACTGCCTAGGCCAGAGCTTCGGGCGCGGCTGCCCGACCACCACCGCCCTCCCCTTCGACTGCTACACGGGCTTCGAGACGTGGAGGGACAGCGGCCGGAGGCTCCCCCAGGGGGGAGGGGGGTGGAGGGGGGGAGGAGGGGAGGAGGGGGGGAGGAGGAGGGGGGAGGGGGGGAGAGGAGGGGGGGGGGAGGGGGGGGGAGGGGGGAGGAGGGGGGGGGGTGGGAGGGGGGTGGAGGGGGGGGGGGCATCCCTCGGCGGAGGGAGGCGCGCGTGACAAGCCCACGGGGCTCTGAGCGGCGACTTACCACCCTTTCCTTCTCCCTTTTCCCGTCTGCTTCGTTTCCTCCCCTCCTTCTCTTCCCCGGCATCCCCTTCCTCTCCTCTCTCCCCCTCTCCATCTCCCCGGGCCGTCCTCGACCCCGCTCTTGTCCGCTTCCTCCCGCTTCGTCCTCCTCCTGATCCTCCTCCGCCTCCTCATTACCATATCATCATCATCATCATCATCATCATCATCATCATCATCATCATCATCATCATCATCATCATCATCATCATCATCATCATCATCATCATCATCGTCATCGTCATCGTCGTCATCGTCATCGTCATCGTCATCATCATCATCATCATCATCATCATCATCATCATTATCATCATCACCATCATCATCATCATCATCATCAGCATCAGCATCATCATCAGCATCAGCATCATCATCATCATCATCATCATCATCCTGCTCCTCCTCCTCCTCCTCCTCCTCATTATCATCCTCGTTCTCCTCCTTCCCCTCCTCATCATCATTATAATCAGTATCATCATCATCAGCATCATCGTCATCGCCATCGTCATCATCATCATCATCATCATCATCATCATCATCATCATCATCATCATCATCATCATCGTCATCGTCATTGTCGTCTTCCTCCTCCTTCTCTTCCCCCAGAGGCCACGTCCCCTCGTTCCCCCCCGAACCTCTCTGCAGACAAGCTTGTTGGACGGAGGTGAACCGGAAAGACGGGCAAACGAGAGTGCGTGCAGGCACCCACGGACGCATGTAAGCAGACAAGAAGAAGATGGAAACACAGTCCATAACGAAGGAAAAAGAAGATGCCGTAAGAAGTGTGGCTCCCGCTTCGCGAACTTCGTGGGGGGGATCAGTGGGCCCACCTCGCTTCTGTTGGAAGACTACACTTTGTGCTTGTACATCTGCATAGTTATAACCATTAAACCGTCTTTCACGATTGCTTTCGGACCTGATCTCCCAGCATAGATCCCTGAACGGATCCTCAACCAGCTTGAGTTTGTCCACCTGGCGCGGCACTGTTGGCGTTGACGGAGCAGGCTAGATGCGGAGTTAGTCGGGAGCAGGGGAGGGGTCCCAGTAGTTGGCCAGGGCCTTTCGCGCGGTCGTGGAGGCGTGACACCGGCGCGCGAGGTCTTGCGCCAGGGTGTGAGGGCGGAAGGGAGGGAGGCAGAGAGCTGGGGGACCGACTCCCGCTTCCAAAGGTGGCATCTTGCTGGGGTGCGGGCCCCGTCGGTCTGGAGCTTTCGGGGGCTCCTTCTGCCGAAGACGGGGGCACGGCGACGCCTACGGCGAGGTCGAGGACAAGGAGGACGAGGACGACGAAGAGAGCGAGGAGGACGAGGAGGACGAGGACGACGAGGACGACGAGGAGGTCCAGGACCACGAGGACGACGAGGAGGAGGCTGGCGAGAGCGGCACCCTTCTGGCGCAGGACCAGCAGCAGTGGTGCTGTCGCAGCGCAGGGCGCGCTTGCCCCGACACCTCCACGCTGCCCTTCGACTGCCTGGAAGGGCGCCCCGGCCCCCACCGCAACGCGCGGCGCGGGGGAGGCAGCCTCTCCTTTGGGAGGAGGGAGGGGGGAGGGGGGGCAAGGGGGCAAGGGGAAGAGTTGACTCAGAGTGGGGGAGGGGGGGGAGTGCGGGAGTGAAGGGAGGAGGAGGGCTGAGGGGGGGGTGCTAGGGAAGGGAAGACTGAGGTGGGAGGGGGAAGGGGAAAGGGTGGCCGTTGCGGGTCCACGTTCTGGCCCTCGCGGGGCTCTGACCCAAGCCCCGCCGCCCGAAACGGGGTGATGAGGAAGAGCGCCCAGGTCAAGTTCCCTGGGTCGATGGAAGTGGTGTCCAGCGCGAGAAACTTCCGAGCCCTTGCACGAGGGTCTCACGCGGCCAAGCTCAAGAGGCGCCGATGCGCGGTCCGAGCCTTCTACTCGGTGAGCTGACCTGACGCCGCGAGGTCCAGGACTTGGCGCCACGAGGCCCATCCAGAGGGGGCGGGGCCTCGCGGCGCAGCCACTTCGCCATTCGCTGCGGCGGCCCAGGATCTTTCGAAGCAGTCGTAGAGCCAGCGGCGACGGGGATCCCCCCCGCAGCGCCACACGTGCTGCCTTCCCCGTCCCCTCCTGCCCCTCCTCCCGCTCCCAGCCCCTCCCTCTCCCCCCCGATCTCCTCCTGGCGCGGGCGAGCCAGGTACGACAAGTGGAGCGACACTTGGGCCACGGAGAAGAAGGCTTGGTGCTGCCTACACCAGAACCGCGGGTGCCCCGAGGCCACTTCGTACCCGTACGATTGTCAGGACGGCGGGGGGGGGGAGCGGAGAGCAGAAGGGGGTCAGGGGAGGCAGCGGCGGGGGTGGCGACGATGGCACATGCTTTCCGAACGGTGGGCAGGAATCTGATTTTCCGGGCAGAATGCGTTCTGAGCGTGTTGGGTTCCGCGTTCTTGTTTGATTATGTTTGCCGCAAAGTTGCGTGTATGAGCCATGGTTCCGTCGTGTTGCTTTATGTGGGCAGGTCCCCACGTTGCGCAGGCCTTCGGGCACAAGAGAGAGTACCTGCCGCGCCCGTACGCCGCGGGCACACTTCACAGTGTCCCATTCGCAAGCGTCCAACCGCCAAGAGACATGGGATAGCTGACAAATATCAGAAACGCGATTGTGGTGAGTTGGCGGAACGCGGAAATTGAGGCCACACCGAACGCGTGATCAATCACATTATGCAGTCTTTTGGACTCGGCAAGTCCAAGGCACACACAAAATATCACATGACGGTTTCCCCGAGGCAAGGAGGTCAGGCAAGCACGTCCAGAACCCTCAGCGTACAGCGTTCCTAGCAGCGCTGTGAACAGAGGAGGCCCGTCGCCTCAAGGCGTAATCACGTGTGAACGCAAATCTATCGCCACTCGCACAGACACAAAATTGGCCTTGGCCTAGCTCAGTGGTGGACCCCACCCGCTCACGCAATTCAGCAATTGCACGAACCATCCCCTGGAGGCGTACGTGCGCCAGTTCGAAAGCAGAGAAGGCGAGAAAGGTTGATTGGCCAGGGTTTTTGGTGCGATCTGTTCCCATCCGCAGATTGAGCCGACAAGGCATCAAGCGGATTAGTCGGTACGCTTACCCGCACACGAGTTGGTCGGCGAATATTGCCGCCTTGATCGACGAGTCGAGCCAGTAAATTGCAGATGTCATCCCTTTGCTGTCTTACAGCGTCATACGCAAATGTGTATGCCCGTGGGTTCCACCACCAAAGTGCCGAGATTGTTTCACTGTTAACGTCGTTAGTTTACAGGCGCGCACCTTCCATCATTTGTCCTTCCTTCTTTTCCATGTTGTCTCTCAACCGACCTCCTACCTCCTCCTACCTCCTACCTCCTACCTCCTACCTCCTACCTCCTCCTCTTCCTCCTCCTCCTCATCTTCATTCTCATCGTCCTTCTCGTCCTCATCCTCCTCATCCTCCTCATCCCCATCCTCGTCATCCTCACCCCCACCCTCACCCTCCCCCTGCCTCCTCAGACCTCCCCCCACCCCCACCTGCACTCGGCCCTGCCTGCCCTTGCGAGAGCGGGGCGCCGCCGCCCGCTCCCGCCCCCCCCCCCCCAGCACGGAGCGCCCCGTGGTCTCACGATGTGCACCAGACGCTGGCGACACCCCTCTCGGGCGTGCGCGTGGCGCGGGACCCCGCCAGGACGCGCCCGCGAGGCCCTCGAGCGCCCCGACGCGCCGTCGACGGCAGAGCCCGGCCCACCGGCGTCCTTCCCCTGGCCTCGGCGCCTGGGCGCGGCGCCTCGACGCCGAGGCGAGGGTCACCAGCGTCGAGTCCTTCCTCGGCCCTGTCGGGGGCCACACGCGAACCCTACCCCTATGCCCCCCACGATTTCTGAGGGGGAGGGCGGGGTTCACTGGTTCACTCCGCTCCCACCCTCCCCTCCCTCCCCCTCAAGAAATCGCGGGGGGCAGGGGTAGGGTTCGCATGTGGCCCCCATATCCTCGGCCCTGGCCGAGACGCCGAGCCCGGCGCCTGCGCCGACGGCCTGGGGGGTGGTGCTGGGGGGCGTCTGCCCCTCGGCCGCGTGGAGCCGCACTCCTGCGCCGCGGAGAGCGCCTCGCCTGCCCGGGCGGCCTCGGGAAAGCGCGTCCTGGTGCCGCTGGCTGGCTGGCTGGCTGCTGCGGCCTTGCCGGCTGCGCTCCACGCCACACGATCGGCGTTCCGAGCACATGCTCCGACTTGGGCCGACTTCGACGTCGCCTTGAAGGTCATGCACCTTGGGGCGTCCCGGATGGACTCCTGACAGGCGGCCGCCACGAAGTACAAGCATCGCGCGGCCGTGTTCAAGAATGCCAGCGGCCGAGTTCGTCATGCTATTCAACGGATCCACGGTATCCGTCCCGTGCACTTGGCCCAGTTGCTGCCCATACTGGAGGTATCCATCCGATCCGAGCCGGACGTGCTGCACCGCATCCTGAATTCCCCGCCGAAGTCATTCGCGCTGGCCTACTTGATCAGCCTCTTCACATGGGCGCCTGGCCCAGCTCTGGCGGCGCTGCAGCTGGCTATCTGGGCCGCCGCCTGGCGCTGCCAACGCCACGGTCGCTGGCCAGAGGGATTTCGCGGCCACGTGGCGCGAGTGTGCAATGCATGTCCTTCACGCCGGTGTTGTCGTCCCCGGGCCGATGAGCTGTCCCGAGGAACAGACCGAGTCCACGCTGCAGTACCTCCTGACCGTCGACACCGCCACGGTCGTCAAGGCGCCCAGCGGGAGTCTGCAGCGGCGCCGGCGGCAAGGCCTGCAAGCGGCCAACACCACACGCAGCGAGCAATGCGCGACCACGGCCGCTGCGCGCAAGCCCCGCCTGCAGTGCACGCACGCGGCCGCCGCCACCGAGGTGGTCCTCTCTGAAGGCTTCCTCGCTACGATCCGTCGACGCATCAGTGCCGGGTGGCCTGACCCGACGGCCTCCGGAGCCTCCGCCGCGCACCCTCTGCCGCGCAGGGCGCTGCGAGCATGGAGCTGGCCAGATCGCACACTGCATGGAGCGCCGCAGTGCGGAGAGTCGTTGAGTCGACCTCTTTGGGAAGGGCGAAAGCCCACCGGGAACGGCCATGCTTGGCTTCCCCCTCTGGGGGCCCTCTGCCTTCCCCTTTGGCACCCAAACGCTGCAGTGTCTTTAGATCCCTGGGTGCTGTGTGATTCGAGGTTGCGCTCATCATAATGAGGGGTTCTGTGCGTCTTGGCCCTTCTAGGTGGGGTCGGAGTGGATGGGGTCGCAGGATCGCGCCGCATCGCCGATGCATCGCCGATGCGGCTCGATGTGGAGCCCTGTTTGCGTCGCGTCGACGTCGTCGGCGCTGCTTGCGCCCCCCAGGGGCCGTGCTGACTGGCCAAGGCGTCTTGCATCCAGACGCCGCTGCTCCTTCTCCGTCCTCCTCCTCCTCCTCCTCCTCCTCCTCCTCGTCTTCGCCTTCCTCGAAGGAATCGGGAGCATGGACGCTCCAGCCGGGCGCGTTGGCTCTGTGCCGTCTGCTCGGCTTGTTCCGCTTCGACGCTGCGCGCGAGGCCGCGGTCGGCAAAAAGTATGGACGCTCCAGCGTCCCGCAGTCTGGGCAGCTGGGGCGTCTTTTTTGAGCCGAGCTCCCTTGCCGACCAAGCGACGTACAGTGAGCCCCTCCCAGGGCGAGGAGGGCGGCCGTGGCTCTGGCTTGGCCGCATCGTTCGAGGCGCTGGCTTGGATGTCGGCGACACTCGCAGCACCCTGAGATCCGAGCGCTGCAGTGTTTTCACACCGGGCGTTTTGGCGTGGTTTCGGGCCCCGGGACCATCTCAGCTCCATCCTGCTCGAGAAATGCAGCAGGAAGATAGGGTCTAGAGTCTAGGGTGAAGATGTTCCAACACATACTTCAGCCTTGGCCACCAGGAAAAATTTCGAGCGCCTAGACAGTGCCGACACTGGAGCGTGTTCACGTGTCGGCCCTGGGAGGCGATACTCGGTCGACATTTCGCCAGCGTGTCAAGCAGACACTGTCTCGATATTTGTCTGGGTGCTCGAAAGCACATTTCTGGGAGATTGTCCTTAAGTGCGATGAGAGCAGCATAAGTTCAGGGGCCGCGACTGTTTGCGATGTTGCATCTATTTTCTGGCGGCGACCGAGGGGGGAAGGGAGAAGGAGGAGGCCTTCTCAAAAGGCTCAGAAGTCCCCCAGCCTTCTGATAGGTCTTATAAGCCTTCCCCGAAGACACAGAAAACTTCTCAGAAGGCGCAAGGGCTTCTGATCAAGGCCTCCCTCAGCTCCCAGTAAAGAACCCAGGAAGCCTTCGAGGGCCCCAAATCGTCGAATACCTAACGGAAATGAATGGTTTCTGCGATGCCGCAGTTCCCCTTCTATACGATTCCGACGCTTGCGCAGGGCCTCCAAGAGAGTCCCTGGATGCAAGGAACGACGAACATGATATTACATGAGCTAGCACATCAAGCCTAGCTAGAGCTTGAGCGCGCGCGATGATTCTAGTGGCAACATTTTCCGCAGGACCTTCCCGGAGCCCACGAAAGTGGCGACAGTTGCGCAGTTGGCAGCCTCCCAGTGAGCCGCGAGGTCTCGCCTGCTTATCGCTTCTGCTGGGCCTCCAGGAGCCCAGCGAAAGTGACGACGGTTGCGCAATTGGCAGCCTCCGCAGTTGGCAGCCTCCCGGGGAGCCACGAGGTCTCGCCTGCCCACCGCCTCCGCTGGACCTCCCAGGAGCCCACGAAAGCGACGACAGTTGCGCAGCTGGCAGCCCCCCAGGGAGCCGCGAGGGTTCGCCTGCCCGCCGCCTCCGCTGAGCCTCCCCAGAGCCCGCAACTGGCAGCCCAGTGAGCCATGAGGGCTCGCCTGCCGACCGACGCCGCTGGACTTCCCAGGATCCCAGGAAAGCGACATCAGTTGCGCAGTTTGCAGCCCCCCAGTAGAAAAGGTGCGAACAAGGACAGAAAGGAGGAGGGGGGAGGAAGAGGAAGAGGAGGAGGAGGAGGAGGAAGAGGAGGAGGAGGAGGAGGAGGAAGGAGGAAAGGATGGAGACCACAGTGATCGAAACCAAGCGAGAAACCCAACACACAGATGAGAGTTGGGAAACATCATGTCACGTTAGCATGCAAGCCTGGTACGCACCGAATCCGTGTTAGGAGTTTCACTGCGTGGTTGAGCAAGCCCGCTTCCTTAGGCGTGTAATCAGCGTCTCCCTCCTCCTCCTCCTCTCCTCCTCCTCCTCTCCTCCTCCTCCTCCTCCTCCTCCTCCTCCTCCCTCCCTCCTCCTCCTCTC